TGTAGGGTATGTAGCAAAGGAGTGTTGGAGTTGGGGCAGTTGTCTCTTTGCGGCTCGCATTTCCACCAGCAGTACGACATTAGAACCCGTTCCCCATGCCCTTCTAATACTTAATGTTACGCTCTGAATAAATTTTGCCAGTTTAGTGGGTAAAACAATACTATATTATTGAAATTTTTTACTTCTCTGATTTCTTTACTGGAGATCGAGTAATCTTATTATGGTGTTTTTGGGGGACAAGGGGCAAAATTCCCCATTAAAATAGAGTGTATCTCTTTGCTGTGGTTTGAGTTTCACCATGTTGTGTCTTTGTGGATCTCTTTTCGTTCATCGTATTACATGCTGCAGGGGGGGTCCCTCTTCATTCTTCGGGAATTTTTTTCGTAATTGCATTTATTTCATGTCCTCTATTTCTTTATTCTTTTCCTTTGGAACTGCTTAGGCCTAAGAAATTGGGGATCTGGAGTGCTCAGGTATATTGTAACTTTTTAATTATTTAATTTTCGCATGCTTATATATAACCATTCTGGGACGTTTACTTGGCTTGATCCTCGGTCTGTTCTTAAGCTCCAAGAACAGAATTTGAAAATATTGCCAAGATGAAGTCAGAAATAACAAACCACTGCTCAGTTTAAAAGTAGTCATGTTTTCTGTATTTTCAGACCTTGATAATGAGTACATCTTTGATTATGATCATCATTAGCACAGATTACTTAAATTTTCAACAATAAAAAGACTCCAGAGCAGCTGATATTTTAGGGTTTTTTTTGTTGTTGTTTGTTTTAAGGGCTCTGAATATCTTTTTTAAATTGCACTGAGCTGATTGTCCTTTAACAAATTGGTTTCTTTGACATGCCATGATTACAGTATGCTAGATAGTCATCTGTTTGGAATTTGACTTAGAATCAGATTGGATTTATACCATCCTTATACTATGAGATTACATGTAGGCCAGGTGCAGTGGCTCACGCCTGTAATCCCAGCACTTCGGGAGGCTGAGGCGGGAGGATCACTTGAAGCCAGGAGTTTGAGATTACAGTGAGCTATGATCATGCCACTGTACTCCAGGTGCCTGGGGGGCAGAGTGAGATCCTGTCTCTTAAAACAAAAAAAAAGAAAGAAAGAAAGATTACATGTAATTAGGATTCAGAATAGGACTTCCTTTTGACTTTATCAAAACATCTTTACACCGAGTTAGGGTGTTTGCTGGCATAGAGATATGAGCTAATCACTGATTATCCCTACTTTTTTCTCAAAAGAAATCTGAGTGGCTTATACTTTAGTAAGCTTTTTTCCTAGGTAGGTATTTCTTCATTTTCCAAAGCAGATTTTACTTTGATCCTTTTCTTTTTTGGGAATACTTCCAAGTAACCAGATGACATTTTTGAGTCTGTTGGAGTATTCCTTTTTGCTGATTGTGAAAATAGCCTCTTGGAAACATGTAGTAATCTCTGATCTCTTGTCTGTCACAGATACCAGATTATAGGAATGCAGTCATTGTGGCCAAGTCTCCAGCCTCAGCTAAGAGGTAGGTGGAATCTCACGATCTGCTTCTAAAGATCACGTTGCTGATGGATTCCTAGCCATTGTAAACTGGACTTAAGTGGTTCCTACTGGTATCACTTATTTTTCTTCCTTGGACTGATACTTTAAGATTATTCTGCCAACTCCACTTACTAAGTAAATATTTTAGTTTCCTCTTTTTTTTTTTTTTCTATTCCCAATCTACAACAGCCAATCATATTTCTTACCTAAGCCATCGAGGTCTGGGGAATACCATCTAGTGCTTCCCTCACACCAGATTGGCAAGCACTCGTCTATCTTTAAGTCTGGCGTTTCAAATACTGGCAAACATACTTTGCAGTTGTTTACTGCCTCTTATTTGAAGAAATCAACAATTTATTAACAGAGTTAGATCCAGCTGAGAGGCCACATATTTGTATGTTAAAAAGTGATATTTTACAAAACTGAAAAACCCTGAGGTAGGCCGGGCGCGGTGGCTCACGCCTGTAACCCTAGCACTCTGGGAGCGAGGCGGGCAGGTTGGCTCGAGGTCAGGAGTTCGAAACAGCCTGAGCAAGAGCGAGACCCGTCGTCTCCTATAAATAGAAAGAAATTAATTGGCCAACTAATGTATATAGAAGAAATTAGCTGGGCATGGTGGCGCGTGCCTGTAGTCCCAGCTACTCGGGAGGCTGAGACAGTAGGATTGCTTGAGCCCAGGAATTTGAGGTTGCCGTGAGCTAGGCTGATGCCATGGCACTCACTCTAGCCTGGACAAGAAAGCAAGACTCTGTCTCAAAAAAAAAACAAAAAAAAAAAAAACCCTGAGGTATACAAAAAGGGCCAGCCCTGAGGGCATCAGTAGAATGAATTATATCTAACCTAGAGTAACTGATGAGTCACTTACATATACTGAAAATCGTATTTTGGTTGAGAGGACTTCCTATACCAGTGTTTTGTGGAGAAGCCACTCCATTGGAGAGGGGAAGAACAAAATCACATGTACGAATAAAGGCTTGTCCTAAAAAAGCCTTTTAAAATTATTTTCCAATTATACATCTTTGCTCACTGCATCTTGTTGAGACCTTTGAGGTGAAAGAAAAGTACCTCATCCCAGAGCCTGTAGGCTGTTAGTATTGAAGGATGAAGGAGGACTTGCACATAGTAAGCCATTGATTTAAAAAACTATTATAAGTAAGTCATCTGACATTATAAATTAAGAATAGCACTTAGTATGTTAAATAAGTTGGCACTTGGGGCCAGGAGCAGTGGCTCACGCCTGTAATCCTAGCACTTTGGGAGGCCAAGGTGGAAGGATCACTTGAGCCCAGGAGTTTGAGATCAACCTGAGCAAGACCCCGTCTCTACAGAAAAATAGAAAAATTAGCTGGGTGTGGTTGTGCATGCCTATGGTCCCAGCTACTCGGGAGACGGAGGCAGGAGGATCACTTGAACCTAGGAGTTTGAGGTTGCTGTGAGCTATGATGATGCCACTGCATTCTAGCCCTGGCAACAGAGCAAGACCCTATTTCAAAAAGAAAGAGAAGTTGGCATTTGGGTAAAACCATTACTTAGCTGTGTTCTTGTGGCTGACCTCTGTGCCCACCCATGTGTCCTTCAGGAAGCTGTAGTATCAGGTCTCCTCTGGTCCATTTAATTAAGTTGTAGGAAACCTTTTTCTTTTTCTTTTTCTTTTTTTGAGACAGTCTTGCTCTGTTACCCAGGCTAGAGTGCTGTGGTGTCAGCCTAGCTCACAGCAACCTCAGACTCCCGGGCTCAGGCGATCCTCCTGCCTCAGCCTCGCAAGTAGCTGGGACTACAAGCATGTGCCACCATGCCTGGCTAATGTTTTCTATATATTTTTAGTTGGCCAATTAATTTCTTTCTATTTTTAGTAAAGATGGGATCTCCCTCTTGCTCATGCTGGTTTCGAACTCCTGACCTTGAGCAATCCTCCAGCCTAGGCGTCCCAGGGTGCTAGGATTATAAGCATGTGCCACTGTGCCCGGCCTGGAAACCTTGATTCATTCAGAAGTACAAACATTTCAAACAGCTTTTCTAAATATTTGTTCAAAGGCTGAATTAATTTTAATTTAATAATTTATTTTTTCTCTCATATATATACTTTTTAAAAATTAAGTTTAAAATCACATAATATATACATGATCATTTTAAAGAATAGAATTCGCTAGCATTTAGTGCATTCACAATGATGTGAAACCACCACCCCTATCTACTTTCAAAACTTTTACATCATTCCAAAAGAGCACCCTGTACCCATTAAGTAATCCCCCACCATTTGTCCCTTGTCTCCCCCTCTCTTGGCAACCACTAATCTGTTTTTTGTCTATGAATTTGCCTATACTGAACATTTCATCCATATGGAATCACACAATATGTGGGCCTTTCTTATATGGTTTCTTTCACTTAGAGTAGTGTTTTCAGGGTTCATCCATGGTGTACTGTATTGGTACTTCATTCCTTTTGATGATTAATGTTCCATGTATGTATATACTGTAGTTTGTTTATCCATTCATCTGTTGATAGACATTTGTGTTTTTACCTTTTGGCTGTTATGAATAGTACTGCTGTAAACATTCATATTTAAGTTCCTGTGTGGGCATGTTTTCATTTCCTGTGGATGTATACTAGGATCAGAATTGCTAATTATATTGGTATTTTTATTTATGGTTTTTGAGGAACTACCAAACTCTTTTTACACAGCAGCTGTCCCATTTTACATTCCCACCAGCATTGTATGAGGGTTCCAGTTTCTCCACGTCTTCACCAACACTAATTTTTTTATTTTTTCGATTGTAATCATCCTAGTGGGAATGAAGTGGTACGTCACTATGGTTTTGATTTGTGTTTCTCTAACGATTGATGATGTTGAGTATCTCTTCATATGCTTATTGCCATGTGTATATCTTCAGAGAAATGTCTCTTCAAGTCTCTTGCTCGTTTTGTATTTGAGTTAACTTTTTGTTGAGTTGTGTTTTATATATTCTCGATGCTGGACCCTTAATCAGATACATGATTTACAGATATTTTCTCCCATTCTGTAGATTGTCTTTTCACCATCTTGATGTGTTCTTTCATAGACAAAAGGTTTTAATTTTGATGAAGTTCAGTTTATCTATTTTTTTGTTACTGCTTGTGCATCTGGTGGCATATCTAAGAATTCATTGCGAATTCCAAGGTCATGATTTTTTTTTTGTTTTTTGTTTTTTTTTTTTGAGACAGAGTCTCACTTTGTTGCCCAGGCTAGAGTGAGTGCCATTGCGTCAGCCTAGCTCAAAGCAACCTCAAACTCCTGGGCTCAAGCGAATCCTCCTGCCTTAGCCTCCCAAGTAGCTGGGACTACAGGCACACACCACCATGCCTAGCTAATTTTTTTTTATTTTTGGTAGAGACGGGGGCTCGCTCTTGCCCAGGCTGGTCTCGAACTCCTGACTTTGAGTGATCCTCCCGCCTCAGCCTTCCAGAGTGCTAGGATTACAGGTGTGAGCCACTGCGCCCAGCCGGTCATGAAGTTTTAATCCTATGTTTTCTTCTAATAGTTTTAGGTTTTGCTTTTACATTTAGGTTTTTTAGCATTTTTATATGTGAATTAAACTAGGCATCCAGCTTCATTCTTTTGCATGTGGATTTCCAAGTTGTCCAGCACTTTTTCTTGAAAAAACTGTGTTTTCTGTATTGTGTTTCCTTTGTTCCTTTGTCAAAGATCAGTTGACTATATTTATGTAGGTCTATTTCTGGGCTCTTTATTTTGCTCCATTGATCTATTTGTTCTTTCACCTGTACAACACTGTCTTGATTACTATAGCTTTAAAATAGTAAGTCCTGAAGTTGTTGGTATTGTTAGTCCTCCAACTTTGTTTTTATTCTTCAATTTTGTGTTGGCTATTCTGGATCTTTTGCCTCTCCATACTAATTTTAGAATCAGATTGTTCATATCTATTGATACAAAATAACTTGCTGGGCTTTTGATTGGGATTGTGTTAAATCTATAGATTGGGAGGAACTGACATCTTGACAGTATTGAGTCTTCCTATCCATGAACATGGAATAGCTCTCTTGATTTCTGTCATCAGAGTTTTGTAGTTTTCCTCATATAGATCTTGTACACATTTTGTTACATTTATATGTACTATTTCTTTGGGTATCCTTTAATTTTTTATAGATTGTATTCTTTATTTCTTTGAACATATTTATAATAGTTGTTTACTCTGTCTAGTAATTCTGACATTGGGCTTCTTAAGAGAGTTTCTGTTGACTGCTTTTTTCCTGTGTGGGGGCTGTATTTTCCTTTTTGTTTGCATGTCTTACAACTTTTGGTTAGAAACAACATTTTAAGTTGTATAAAGTGACAAATCTGAGCATCCAGCATACCAATTCCCAGGATATGTTGTTACTGCTGTTGTTTCTGCTGTATGTTTCTTTAGTGGCTTTCCTGTACTGATTCTGCAAAGACTGTATTCTTTGAAGAGGCAGCCACTGAAGTCTTTGCTTGGTTAGCTTAGTGGCCAGCTAATGACTGGACAGAGATTTCCTTAAATGCTTTGAGCCAGTAAGTTCTCCCATCATCATCCCAGGGCCTGTGTATGCATATTGGGGCATGTCTTCCGTTCTCGTAGTAGCATACAACTCTGCCTTAGCCTTTACCTCCTGCTTGCACAGTGCCTCAAAGGTTCAAACCAAGGTTCAGCCAAGGTTCAAGTTTGAGGCCTTTTTGGGTCCTTCCTTGGTAAGCTTGTGTCCTGTGCATGCAGAATTTTTTCAAGGCCCATATGGGCATCTCATTCCCCAGATTTTCCTTTTGTTTTTTGGCTAGCCTCTTGTTTGACTCATCTGGTATTGTCACTTCAGGCAGCTGCAGTGTTAAACAATTGCTGCTTATTATTTTTGACACTCTGGGGATAGGGCCATTCACATACAGTAGGCTCTGAATCAGGTCATACTCTCCAGCCCTGAATCACAGCAAGCTTCCCAATAGAGAGGTGTAATGCTGACAGTTACCTGAGA